GAGGAAGTTGACTACTGGTAGGACTGATCTGACAGCATTTCCCTCGTGTGTTCACTGGCCTTGCACCTCAACGCCATTGGTTTTGAACAACCTAACTAAGCAACTCACTGGGCTTGGTAAGAAATGGACAAATATGCTTGACCAATCCTCACCACACTACATTTATCAAAGTATTGTGCATTTAAAATGTTGGGTCATTCCATTCTAAAAGGAATTTAGATAATTTAGAACAAAGAAATTTTAAGAGAAAAGCATCAAACGTGAGATATAAGCCATGACATAGGTTCTAAGGGATACTGGTGTTGAGATGTATATACATAGCTCAACACCAATATTGGTATTTACATATACCAATGTTAGTATGTCTTTGGCCGGGCTCGGTGGCTCAGCCTGTAATCTCAGCACTTTGGGAGCCCGCGGGTTCGAGACCCACCTGGGCAACTTGGCGAGACCTCGTCTCTACAATAAATCAAAATTTAGCCGGGCGTGGTAGCACGTGCCTGTAGTTCCGGCTACTTGGAAGGCTGAGTTGGAAGGATCGCTGGAGCCCAGCAGGTCGAGGCTGCGGTGGCCGGGAGCAGCCATTGTACTCCAGTCTGGGCAACAGAGTGAGACTCCAACTCAAAAAAAAAAAAATAATGTGTGTGTTTGTATATACACTTTCTATTTTATAGCAGTTTTAGGTTAGGTTTGGAGCAAAATTGAGTAGGAGGTACCGAGAGGGTTTCCATATACATGCACACAACACACACACACACACACACACACACACACACACGCACACACACACGCACAGTTTTCCCCACTATCAACATCCCACACCAGAGAGATCCTTTTGATAGGGTCAATGAGATAAACCAACATGGGTGCATCATTACCACTCAAAGTTTATAGTTCATATTCATGTTCACTCTTGGTGTTGGAAGTTCTGTAGATTTTGACAAATGTATAATGGTGTGTATCCAACATTATAGTACCTTCATTGCCCTTAAAATCCCCCGGGTTCCACTTTATTCCTCCCTGTCCTACCTCTCTCTTCCAACTCAGGCAGCCACTGCTCTTTCTCCTGTCTTCATAGTTTTGCCTTTTCCAGAATGTCATATAGTTGGAATCATATACCATGTGATCTTTTTGGATTGGCTTCTTTCACTTAGTGATACGCATTTAAGGTATATCTGAGATTTTTCAGAGTATAAAAAGAGAACAATTAATATAATTCCTATTTTGTAGAGTTAAAGGAGTTGTATATTATTATTAGCTCCACTGTACAAAGAATAAATCAGGATGGGTGCAGTGTCTCACTCCTATAATCCCATCACTTTGAGAGGTAGAGGTGAGAGAATTGCCTGAGCTTTGGGGTTTGAGAGAAGCCTGGGCAACTTGGCGAGTCCTCATTTCTACAATAAAAATTTAAAAAATTAAACAAGTGTGGTGTCACATGCCTACTGTTCCAGCTACTTAGAAGAGTGAGGCAGAGGGATTGCCTGGGTCCAGCAGGTCGAGGCTGCAGTGGCCGTGATCATGCCTCTGCACTCCAGCCTGGACTCCAGTGTGAGACTCTAACTCAAACAAACAAACAAGAATAAATCAATCGTAAACTACAAAATGAAATACACCTTTTTTTTTTTGAGATAGCGTTTCACTCTGTCACCAAGGCTAGAGTGCAATGGCTGATCGTGGCTCACCACAGCCTCACCCTCCTGGGCTCAGTGATTCACCTGCCCCAGCCTCCCAGTAGCTGGGGCTACAGGCACATATCACTACACCAGACTGATTTTTCTAATTTTTGTAGAGATGAGGTCTTATTTTGTTGCCCAGGCTGGTCTTGAACCCCTAGGTTAAAGGGTCCTCCCACCTTGACCCCCAAAGTACTAGGATTACAGGCGTGAGCCATTGTGCCCAGTTTGAAATGCAATTTTTTGTTGATTCCAAAACACTTAAAACTTACGATCCTCCTATAATGGCTAGGTAAATTCATGGGCGACACGCAAGAATAAATCCATTGAAATTAAAGTTTTAGAAAAAAATCTTTTGTAACTGTGGTCACACTTCTTAAAGCTTGTATGCAGCAAAGTGTATTCAAGTAAAAGATAAACATAGTACTTCTTCCAAGAGCATTAGTTTTAATTGATTACCTGAAGGAAGCCTTTTATATCAAAAAAGCATGGATATATTATATAATAGAATACAGAATTTTCATTAGTATAAAACAAGAGACTTAAAAGAAATATTGAGCTAATGAAGGATAGCTTCTGGCAAAGAGCCTAGACTCCCCTGAGGAGGGCAAATTTATGTTCCCCCACATCAGAAATATTTCATTAGAAAATTCGAGAAGCAATTCAGAGGGGATTTAATTTAAAACTAGATACATTTTGATGTTTGGATAGTGTTGTAAGTCAGGTTCCCTAGGAAGCCGACTCTGAGACAGATTCCAATGTAGAGGGGTTATTGAAAATTCTCTCAGGAACATTCCCACAAAAGAGAGAAGAAAACAGAATTGGGTGGTGGGGGGTGGGGGATGGATGGAGTTGACCTGTGATGCCTGTGCATTGGGGACTCCCGTTGATGCTCTGGGGAGCGCTGGAGCTGCACTGGCTCTTCATAGACACCCTAGACTGAAGCATAGGGTCTGAGTCCTCATAGCCCCAGTTTACCAGTCAATGACAGGAGCTATTCCCAGGAGGGTCTGTAAATTAGAGAGCAGTTCCTGGAGCTGGATGCAGCTGTGAGCTGTCATCTGGCAACCTCCCAATAGCTGGGGGTATGGACACCTTGATCTTGATGGAGAATCTGGGCAGTACAAGACTGTGTACACTATATGCTGTATAAGCGCACTGGCTTCCTTGAAAGAAGGGCCTAGAACAAGTGAGTTCTGAGCACGTGTTGATAAAAACAATTCTGGAATTTAATACAATTGCTACCTCCAGATAAAGGAGAGAGTTTATATTTGCATATCTACTGCAAGGACAAATATAAAGAAACACACACACCATTCTGAGTAGGAGCTGGGAAACAAAAAGAATCTGTATTTTGTCTTGGAGTATAGAAAATTACTTCCTTGTGTTTTTTCAGAAAAGGTTAATACCTTAGCTTAGTTAAGTAATAGGTCTATTCTTAATGTTGGCTCTTAGACTTTCATTACATGCAAAGAGCTTGTTAAACTTTTTCAACCACTGGTGGGTTCATAAAGATGAAAGATTATTTTAATGCATAAAATATTGAGAAAAAAATAAAATCAAGGATGTCCATCCTTCCTTAAATGTGAGATTAACCTAACGAAAACATTGAAGAAAAACTCTTTGACCATGGTTTAATGTCAAAAGAGGTTTATATGTAAAGATAGAAAAATTTAAATGCAATTAACTTTCTAAGCTTGAGTTTAAAATTTGTACATTATAACACAGCTGTGATGTCAGAGAGTTAGATCAAAACTTGGTACTGATGTCTCAGTCATGTGTTTACCCCTCCCCCACTTACACTGATTTCTACAAACACTGACTTCGTAAGCATGACCACATAGATCTCAGATGTATGGCTTTGATCATAGGGTTGGAGTCTAAAAACCTTCTAAATATATCTTCTATACTGTTGAGTAGGTAGGGAGAAGAACTTTCAGATTTCATTTTTAACATGAATTTCCTACGCCTTCTTTATGTATAAAACAAACTATTCTCATATAACTCGTAAATAAAAGTAGTTTCAAAGTGTAAAAAGAACAAAGTAAAGTACTCTTGCACTGACCTCCATTGCTTTTTGGCTCTATTTTTTCTCCCTTACCACATTGATGAGTCCCTCATTAACTAGCACAGAGACAATACAGAATGTAAGAACTATTCAACTAATAGTGTTTCAGCCAATTAATACAATCCTATATACTCACATACATTTTCTGACCTCCAGACACATCAGATAGTCAACACTCAAAACTCCTGGCCCCTGCTTATAAGTCTGAGTTAGTGTGGACTCAGGTCTTTGCTGCAGGAAAGTTTCATGCAATGAAAGTTTAGGAAACTATCATTGGATCTTTGGATACCAAAATTTGTGGACTTCAGTATCCCCATCTGTCAAATGAGTCGGTTGAGCTTTAACCGAATTATCTTCATGATTCTTTCTAGGGCAACATCTTAGATGAAACTATGACTTCATTTGTGCTCCAGGTGTGGTAGCATATGGCCTTTGAGCTATAATCAAGATTCAAGGGCAAAGCACAATGTGACAAAACCATAGCAGACCTTGACCTCTGTGACTCAACCCTGGCCAGGATTTCAGGAGCCAGACTCCCCAGGTGGAGGCCACTAGAGACAGTAAACTGCATATTGATATCATAATAATTCCCTCAAATTCTAAAATTGTGAGTGCACCTTTCCAAAGTACCTAATTTACTGTGTAAAACATCTTTACTCTCAAACAAAATCTGATGTAGTGGTTCAATTTAAGGCATATGCATCAACATTTTTTCTTTAATCTAAAACTGTAAGTTTTCAAATAATGATGACTTTTTTTTCTTTTTTTTCTTTTTTTTTAGTCAGGGTCACATTCTGTTACACAGGCTGGAGTGCAGTGGCACAATCATGGCTAACTGCAATCCCCTGGCTCAGACAGTCCTTCCTCCTCAGCCCATCAGGTAGCTGGGACTGCAGGAGCACACTGCCATACCCAGCTATTTTTTAAAATTATTTTTTGCAGAGATAAGGTCTTGCCCATTGCCTAGGCTGGTCTTGAACTTTTGGGCTCAAGCAATGTGCTGGGATTACAGTCGTGAGCCATCACACCCTGCCTAATGATGCCATTTACAAGAAAGGTGTTCCTGAGATTAGGATAAGACGTATTCTCTAATCACATTTGTCTATTTTGAAGGCTCATATTATTTCTAACTGGACATTAGTCTACTTAAATTACCAAAATGTTTATATAAGAATAATGTATCTTGCAAGTCTTCAACACTGAATAGAGAGAACTACCTTAATTCCAAAATGACTTGAATTGCTCTTTTTTTTAAGGTCCTGTCCCGACACAGCCATCACCCTGCGAAGTTGACCAATTTTCTTGTATCTACACACTCCAGTGTGTTCCTCTCTTGGGGAAATGTAACGGACATGAAGATTGCATAGATGGATCTGATGAAATGGATTGTTCTCTCAGTCCCTCTCCTCCACTGTGTGGCAAAATGGAGTTCCAGTGCTCTACAGATGTGTGTATCCCATCCCTCCTGCTATGTGACGGGGTGCCCGACTGTCACTTTAATGAAGATGAATTCGGCTGCTGTGAGTTCTTTTCACTAACTCTGTGCCAGGGAAAAGATGTTGTTTTGAAATGATGGAGAGAGCTGGACAGATAAAAAGTTCTCCATAGTCTTACCATGATCCTATCATCAATAACATAGTTTTTTGTGTTATGTTGCTAAACAAAGCATGTCACCCCTGCTTAGTATTTCTGGAAATAATCTGTAGTCACACCAATTTCTGTCAAGGCTAGCTTATTTGCTTTTCCATTTATATCTGGATCATTCCTACAGGGGATGTCCTTATGTATTTGTTATCTTTTTGTCACGTTTATGGGAATGGTTTAAAAAAATGTGCAATTATAATTCCATTCCACCATAAAGGTTCCTAAAGATGGCTCAAGTAAAGGGCATATTGATAAATATACCCTTTTTTGTCAATGGACAAATATTGATTTTAATGAATATGTAGACAAATATTGATTTTAATGAATATGTATATATTTGTATAGTATAGGTCTTAGGTCTGGACAATTAGCAAAAAAAGATGTCATGTCATTAAGGGTACATGGAAAGCCGGGCTCGGTGGCTCAGCCTGTAATCCCGCGCCTTGGGAGGCTGAGGTGAGTGGATTGCCTGAGCCGGCGGGTTCGAGACCCGCCTGGACAACTTGGTGAGACCTCATCTTTACAATAAAAAAAAAAATTAGCCAGGTGTGGTAGCGTGCACCTGTGGTTCCACTCGGAAGGCTGAGGTGGAAGGATCGCTGGAGCCCAGCAGGTCGAGGCTGCGGTGGCTGGGAGCAGCCACTGCACTCCAGTCAGGATGACAGAGTAAGACTCCAACTCAAAAAAAAAAAAAAAATGAGCACATGGAATAGTAAATCCTGAGGGTTTGAATCACATTCTTGCTATTTACTTCCTGTGCAGTCTTGGGGAGGTCACTTGAGTGCTGCCAATTTCAGCTTTATCATTGACGTAATGAGGTTGGCAGTAACTAATTTACAAGGCTATGAAGATTTGGGCAAATGCTTGTTACATGCCAACCCCTGCATTCAGCATCTTCTATTTTTATCAGAACTAGTCAATGTCAGGTAGGGAAGGAAGAATGTGAGATAGGAGGCAATTACACAAATTTTAAGGCGAACACATAATCGCGGTGGATCCAAACATGCTAACATTTTATTTAACTATTTGTTTACTTGCCTGTTTTGCATTTTATTATATATATATTTTTTCTTTTTTTTTGGCGAGGACTACAGTGATAGAGGTCTATACATCATATGTTAATTATCACACTTTTTTGAATAGTAAAGATGGTCACACTTTTTTTTAATAGTAAAAGCAGTCTGGAATGTAACTGTAAGAGAGGAACATTTAAAGAAATATAAGGCCATATCTGTGTCCTATTTAGTGTGGGCATCCAGAGTTATGATAACTATTGGAAAAGGAGTAAAGATGAATGGAAGGAAAGAGTGATGGCGTTTGGATGTTTAAAGGCTTTAGCTTTAAATCAGAGAAACTCTTTTCCTGGTTTAGGCTTAGAGATTAGTTTTTTATCTTCCTGTTATTTCTTACATATATATTCTCTCTGAGATAAAGCCAACTTGTCAGGCTAGATAATATTTTCTTAGAGGCAAGGTAAGCAAATGGAGGTGAATGGAAAAGAAGAAGCCTGCCAAATTACTTATCCTTGTTCCCATCAGGGCTCTAATATAATTTGGCTGATGGAAATCATATTAAGTTCAATATAGTCATATGATATTTGGCTTCAAATAAGGATGCTATCTAAAGAGGAGCTTAGGAAAGTATTGTGTCCTTATAATTTTGGGCATTCATTGGAAAATTGGCATTTGACTTGTCATATGAAGTTCTGCTTCTAAAGGGAAATAAGTCCATATTAGGAATAGATTGGGACAAAACGCTAAAACAAAATTACAGAATAAAAGAATTCAGTGATCAGAATTCACCAAACACCCATAGACCAAAGGATGTGAGAGGAGAGAACAGTTGCCTGAACCTGGAATCAAAGAGGATCACTTGATAAGAGGTACAGCATTGGATAAGGGAAGCAGCTAGTCCGTGCTGATCTTACAAAGTCTCTTCTCTGTATATCAATCTACTGCTGGTGTTACCCATTGGCCAAACTCAATTTTACTCTAAAAGTCCAAGAAGCTTGTTGATGCTCTCTTATAATTCAGCTGCCCTGGGTCCAGAGTAGGGTGAGAAGGTGGAGAATGAATCAGAAGAAGCACATAGAAACTATGCATCAATGACAGATACAACTGTGAAAAACAAATAGGGACGCAGATTGCCTACTTCCCAATAGTGGTAGATTTGTCCTATAAAACTGAGGGCATCTAGTTCCATCCAGGTTGCAGCGAAATTCATGATTTTGTTCTTTTTTATGGCTGCGTAAACACTTCTTATCTACAGGGTGCCTGAATGAAACGTCATTGTACACCTAACCCTTAACTGTACCCCACAAAACCATAATAAAAAAATACTGATTAATGAAAAAAAAAAACAACTGAGGGCCACTTGCGTTTATTTGGAATGGGTCATGTTCCTAAGATTTGTATATCAACCCTTATCATCAATATTTTTGTTATTGGTCTTTAAATATGTTAGCTATGATCTCAGAATTTTGCAGTAATTCTCAATAACAGTGTATAGATTATTTCTCTGCATTTGCCAGCTTCCTTTCTACAATAGTGTTCCTCAGTTTACTCAACTTTAAAATAATGGTGATTAAGTCTGTTTTAAAGACGTGTTGAAGGAGTAAATGAAATTAATATGGTAAAGTGTGTAGTTATACACATAATAAATTATTATCCTTTGCTCATTAAACTATTTTATAGTTTAAAGAAAATTACTTAAACTATTAAGATATTTGAACAAGAATACTCACTGAATTTAAATCATCCTGCTCTGTGTTAGCTGTGTGTGTACACAGAAGGGCTTGTAACCTCCATTCTCATGACCCAAGACTATAGTTTCTCTGCTTCTGAAAATATTGATCCGCTATGTATTGGAGTTTTTATTTCAATGGGATTTGGGTAGGCATCTATAGTCTTACCTACTTTAATTTTTATATAGTTTTCATGCAGCAACTATAATTTATAAAAGAAATTTTGCTTTTAAGAAGTGACTCCAATCAACATTCCTGAATTTTTTACTTTTAAAGTGTCATCTACTTGAGTAAAATGAACTAAAAGGCACAAATGCTCTGTGTTACTCAGCCTAGGTTGGTAAGAAAGAGTATCAACCTCTAGGATGATGACAGAATGGAATAAATATTTTTGTGTGCATATTTTTAAAAAATATGCATCTTATATTATCTCTCTTATATTATCTCTCACCTTTAACAACAAAAAACAATGATAATAAAAATATGTATGCACACAAAAATATGTGTGATGAAAACATAATTTCTGAAAGGGAAAGTAGTATAAAAAAGATATTGTTCATGGAATTATTTTGAAACCTGAGTTTCCTATACATTTTATATATAGATTACTAGACTACTTTTACATTTTTGTATATGTATTAATTTTAAAAATAGAAAATAAATGGCATAATTTATTTTCCATGTTCAGTACAATGTTCTTTGCCTTATGAATGTCAATAAATTTTAATTGCACTCATAATTAACGTGACACCTATGTCTAAAAGGACATTGATAAATGTCTGTTAACTACTACAACGTTATATTATTTAAAATGTCTCATAAATTAAGACTTTTGCTTTCAAATTGTATAAAGTAAAAGGTCAATTTTTAACTAAACTGTCTACATATTAATAAGAAGGAAAAAAGTAAAACTTACATTGATATTTTCTTATTATACTTTTATGTGTTTAAATAGTATTTGTGCCAAAATTGTGAACTTATACAAGCTAGGCCCTTTTGTTATGTAGTCACTTGAAAATAATTTGCCAGTCACATTGGAAATTTGGTGAATAAATGTGAATGAACTTGTATTTCCATTAGAAGGAGGATTCAACATATATACTTTACAAATAGATGAGCATATCTACCACCTTTGTATACAAATTTTAACACATTATATTTTTTAAAAATCTTAAAACTATCATCTTATCTCTCACCTTTAATGACAAAAAACAATGATGATAAAAATATGTATGCACACAAAAATATGTGCATACACACATATATAGATATATGAGTACATGTATATACAGACCTTCCTTGTTTGATTGTGCACTGTTTGATTATGCTTCACAGATATTACATTTTTTTATAAATTGAAGGCTGTATCTAACAAGTCTATCGATGCTATTTTTCCAACAGTATATGCTCATTTAGTATCTCTGGCCCATTTTAGCAATTCACACAATATTTAGTAATTTACACAATATTTCACACTTTATTATTATTATTATATCTGGTGATCAATGATCTTTGATGCTACTTTTGTAGTTGTTTTGGAGTGCCAGGAACAGCACTTACAGAAGATGGAAAACCTAATTTATAGATGTCGTGTGTACTCTGCTCCACCAACTGACCACTCACCTGTATCTCTCTCTCTCTCTCCCCCCTCTCTCTCTCCCTCGCTCTCGCTCTCTCTCTTCCTCCCCTCACCTCCCTCTTCTCCAGCCTCTCCATTCCCTGAGACACAACAATGTTGAAATTACACCAACTAATAAATCTACAATCATTTGTAAGTGTTCAAGTGAAAGGACGAATCACATATCTCTCACTTTAAGTAAAAAGCTAGAAATGACTAAATTTAATGAGAAAGGCATGTCAAAAGCTCAGATAGGCTGAAAACTAGACTTCTTGTAACAATTAGCCAAGTTGTGAATACAAAGGGAGAATTCTTGGAGACAGTTAAAAGAGCTACTCTAGTGAACACATAAAGGATAAGAAGGGAAGATAGATTTAAAGCTGAAATGGAGAAAGTTTGAGTGGTCTGGGTAGGAGATCAAACCAGCTGTAACATCCCCTTATGCCAAAGCCCAATCCTGAGCAAGGCCCTAACTCTCTTGAATTCTACAAAGACTTATAGAGGAGAGAGTGCTG